TGAACCAATAACTTCATGGGGCTGTGTAGTGTGTTGTCTGTTTAATATAACTGTTATTTGAACCCCTAAGTTAGGTTTTGCTTTACTATGGTTTGGCCCTGCTCCAATCTCTGCTCCTCGCCCCTCTAACTTCTGTCTAATTTCTCCCTCTCCTGCTTCTGGCTCACTGCCACCCCCAACACCTGTCCTGAGTTCCTCTCTGCCTCCAAACCCCCTGTTTCTTTGCCACTGTCTTATCCCTACTGCCTTTTCCTTTTCCCCTAAGCAACCAGGTTTCTGCCTCAGTTTCTTTCCTAGCTGTCTCCTCCTTGCCACCAGGCTTTTTTTTTTTCTTTCCCTTGCACCAGTGACCGTGAGTAACCCTGGGGCCACTTGAGCTTAAGTAAACCCAAGCCTCAGTTCCTCAGCCAGCTTCTCTCTAGTCCGCCAGTTCTAATCCCTTTCTGGCAACTTTCACTCCCTACACTTTAACTCTCTCTCTCTCTTATCTTAACCTTCCCCCAAGTATCCCAGGTACCCCAAGCACACACATACATACCATGCCATCCAAGTTAGGAACTTACCTGTGTGTAGGTGGGTTATATGTGTGTGAACTGGTGAGTCTGTGTGTGTGTGTATAATATATATATATCTCATTGTGTGCAAGATATACAAATAAGTGATCTGTGTATGTGTACGAAGTGTGTGGGTATTGACAATTGATTTTTGTCTAATTTTTAGTGTGTAGTGTGTATGTGCTTGAATTGGTGATAGGTATGCATGTGCCTAGGCTGGTTTGGATGTGTATGTGCCTGAGCTGGTAGTGTGTGTGTGTGTGTGTGTGTATGCACCTACTTGATTTGTGTGTTTGTATATGTGCAATTGTGTCACACCCTCCTGTCTAACAGTGCAATATTGAGATCCTGAGAGTTGGCCTGACCCCACAGGGCAACAAAAAATTATGACCTGCTGCCCTGTTTCATTTTGTAATTTCAGGCCCGTATTTGGGCCTGAATTTGTTTGTTGCAAACTGCTCTGAGCCTTTTGGAAAGGGTGGGATATAAACCTAAAATATATATATAAGGGGAAAATATACCACAAGAGCATAGTTTGTTGAACATAACTTCATTTCATGTGTCCTATTAAATGCAATGTCTATGAATTGCCATGGGTTAAAGGCACAGTTTTAAATGTTTCTTCAAGCTTGTTTTCTTTGATAACATTGCAAAGATAAATTCAAGGGTGCTGAGAAGAAAGAACTTTCTGGACCAGATAAAGAATATTTTTAGACAAAGACTTGGAAACTTTGGAAAGAACGTAATCAATTGCTGAGACTCATTAAAACATGTCTTTTACTTACAAATAACAGATCAGTGTGCAGACTCTAATCTCTAGGTTGTTTTTAAGTTAAAGGTGGTAGAAATCATTTTCACCTTATCTGCAGTAGGTTATGTATTAGACTATCAATAAAGATGTTGGATCCAACTTTTCCATAAAAATTTCAACGAATAGTTAAGAATTCATAAGGCTGGAATACCCTGATCATATTATATTGTCCTTACATAGACTATCTATTTCCAGCAGTGTTACAGGGCTGAGAACATAAAATATATTGAATCTTTTGAACTAATTACTGGGAACAGAGAGTGCTCCTCCTCTGTTTCCCTCAGCAAAATACTGTCCATAAGGCCTGTGCAAAGCTTCGCCGTCTGTTTCGTTTTGATGCTGTTTTGACTCATTTCAAGCTTTGAAACAGTGAAATCGAAATGCAACGTAGGTCTTCAAAACAGCCTTGAAATGAAATGAGGACAGCTGAAACATTTTGAAAATTTCAAAAGTTTTCAACCGTTTTGAAGAGGCAGCCAGGTGGTGGGAGGCAGTGGAGAACCAGGGCTGCACTCTGAGCGGCTCTGCAGCTCCATTTGGTTCAGCCGGGCAGGGAGTGCAGCCCTGGCTCTCCCTGCCTCGTGCCACTGGGCTGTGCTCCGTGGGGCTGACGGAGCCAATCAGAGCACAGCACCGGCTCTGCCTGCCTCCCATTGCCAGGCTGCACTCCGATTGGCTCTGCCAACCCCATGGAGCTCAGCCCGGTGGTGGAAGGTGGGCAGAGCCAGCACTGCACTCTGGCTCCCGTCATTATCCTGAGTTCCACGGGGATGCAAGCCACTGGGAGCTGAGCCCGGTGGAGGGAGTCAGGGCACAGTGCTGGGGCTGTGCTCTGCCTCCCTCCACTGGGCTCAGTGCTCAGTGGTTTGCAACCCAGTGTGGGGAAGCAGAGCCCAGTGCCAGAGCTGCGCTCCATCTCCCTCCACTGGGCCCAGTGCCGGTCCCAGGTGGCAGCAGCAGACTCCCACCTGCACATCCGGGTGGGCTTTGGGGCTCTGCCGGACTCCTCCCAGGGGTGCAGGCCCCTGATCTGCCTGTGATTACAGGAGGCTGCTCCTCCTCCAGTCTTGTGCTTCCCCATTCTAGCCTGTGGGCGAAACACCAAAACAGCGTCGAAACAGTGAAACTGTTTCAACAAAGTGAAATGAAACAATGCTTTTGAAACTAAACTAAACTCAAAACGAAACACTGTTCCCCTGAAATGTCGAATTGGAAGTCGAAGTGGAATGGTGCCATTTTGTACAGCCCTAATGTGCACAGGCACTAGTCCACAAAACTTACTTCCTAGAGTTTGTTTTATTTAATTTAATAAAATGTAAACCTCAAACTAACTGACTGGTCCTAGGACTTTCATTACAGGTTGTCTCAGACTCTAGCTCCACCTTTCTAGGAATGTACATCCAGGCCAGTTACATCCTGCTGA